ACACACACACACACACACACACACACACACACACACACACACACACAATCAGAGAGAATGAACACGTAGCTTGAGCATGTGTCTGGCTGTACCTGTGCTTGTAGACACGATGGACATGGCTTTAGTCATTCAGAGAGGCAGGAGGGTGAAGAGAGGGGGAGAGCAGGGAGGGAGAGAAGACAAAAGCAAGTGAACTCGCTCCACTGGCTCCTTCTGTTCCTCGTGTAAGGCCAAGGGGAAAAATCCCAGACAGCTAGGAACGGGAAAAAACAAAACACAATGCGACTCTTAGATATGCATCTCTGCAGGAGATTCAATTTAAGATTTCTCAGAATTGTGGTTTTATTCTGAGAACTCTGAGTTTGGTTCTTAAAGATACAAAGAAGATAATCTCCATGCTGGTGGAAGGTGCAAAGGAAAAATAATGGTTTATTGTTACAAAAATATGACCTCTTGTGATGCTAATGATGAGCACAGTGAGGCTTTACAAATACGTTTCAATACCTTGACGCTCACTTAGCAAAGAGTCCATTTTCTCATTTGAAAATAATTGGGAATGTAAATCACATTTTCAAAAGGAAACCAGCCAGCCACGCTTCGACAGTGATGAATAAACCCATTACTGTGCCCAAGTTTCAATATTCTTAATACCTGCTTTCATTACTGAGCATTCATGTCATTTCAAACTGTGTGACGGTCAAACTAGAGGAGAGTGAGGTCAGATTACACGGAACTCTTTCGTCCAATACGATGCTTCACCTTGTTTATCACCATGGCAAGCATACAGTACCGATGACTCGCACCGTGTTTACATTTCAGTCGTCTCACAGACTAGATTCAGTTGATGGGGTTGTGTCACATTATTCACTGTGTGCTGTGTTGCAGCTTCAATCTGGCATCACTAGAAAATTCACATTCACATTCAAGAACTTTTCAAGGACTTTCTAAGCCCAAAAAGCGAGACTTCTTTTCTATTCTTGACAAAACATTAATTCAAGCACTTGATAATTCAATGATTCATGTCTATTCATGTCTATTTTAAGTCTATACTTTCAAGGCCTTCATCTTCCCCTTTCAAATTCACAAACGTTCAGGGTTTTCAAAGAAACCTGGGAGCCATGTCAGGGTTTTATTTCTATTAGGATCGGACAAATAACTAATATATATATATATATATAATAATAATAATCAATTGGCAGAAAACTTGGCAAGCTAAGACACGATCAAACTATTTAGATCTCGGGAGGGAAACGTATGTCACTCTAACCAAATGTTTGTGCAAAACCAATAGTGCAATTACAGTTTATGTACATAATAGATTGGGATTTTTGCTTGGTATATTCTCTGGTTTTGACTTCTATGATTTTCTGTTATTTTTTATTGGTATCATCGTCAATTAAATATTTTGGGATTTAGACGGTTCGTCGGACAAAAGGCTTCTGGAAAACTGGCATTATTTTCTGACCTTTAAAAAGACAAATCTTGTACCATGGACTTCATTTGTAGATTAAAGTATTAAATAAGAAACACGACTTTGCTAATATTGCAAACTGACGTCTGACAAATGATAAACTTCTATGGACCGTCCTTAATTTAAATTAAATCATGAACACTTTTTAGCATCACTTTACTTTAAAGCAATATTTCCAAAGAAGAAGCACATACTCACATTGACCAATCAAAAGGTAACTGATATTATGTTACTATACGACTGAGTAAAGAAGGAACGATGTCGCCTTTCTTCAGCTGACAGGGTGAAGACAATGATCTCGCTTCCTAATCAACAGTCCCTGCAACTTTCCAAAGGTAAACATTACATTGTTGTATTCTAAAGTGTACGTTTTCCACCTACAGTAGAAATGGGGGTCTACTAAGAACTACCTGAAAGCAAAAGTCTGCCTTTTTTACTCTGAAAGCAACATTTCCTTTGAGACTTCAATAACAAAACAATCCTGCAGCATTTTCGGGCTCATTGTTAGATGTCCACAGTCACCACAAACACGCGCCTGACGTCCACAAACGCCAGATGCACATCAGCATGTTGGCAATGAGGGTTTGTCTATAACACAAGAGTTAAAAAAACAAACTGTTCTTTGTTGTTTTTCTGTCATCGTACGTCAAATATTCTGACAATTTCATCAAAACGGTGATTTACAATTGTCTTACGTTAATCATTTGTCATGTTCTGTCACGTTTTCCCACTGGTGGGCTTGTGAGAACAACAAGAAACAAAACAGCTGCCGAGGACGTTTCTAGTTCAGAGGAAACTGATTGAAGAGCAGGTTGGCATTGTGCCAAAGTGGCAATTAGAACAAAGAGCGACGGCACAAACAGACCTTCGTTCAGCGGGTCACAAGTGCTCATAAAGCCAAGTTTAGAGTCCTGTTTAAAATACGATGCATTCAACTGTGCATTGGACTGATGAGTGGTGACGAAGAACAAGCTTTTGTAGCTGCTATTACTCGTTATAATTGACTGTTGCTGCTGTAGTCCATCAACAGCATGTGCTGACTGATGGCATCATTACAAACAAGTCAGATATGAATCACCTTCAAACTACTTACTGGAGGATCAACCTACCATCAAATAGTTGAATGAGAAGACCAATACCACTGAGTCAAATATAAATCTAGTGCCATCTTAGCATATAT